ATAAATTTGGTCCCAGAAACTGGTCCAACCTTTCTCCCACCCCTATGGCATCATCAAGTAAATTTCCCATTTCTTTCTTAAACTCCCTGACATCCCCAGTGTTTAAAGGAACTGCCACATATCCTGTCCCTGGCCCTCCTTGCCCATCTCCCCCAGACACCAACATCTCCCTAAGTGGAAACAGTTTCCCCTCCCCCTGCTCTGCCATGCTCCGGGTAGTCCGTGGAGGGGGAGCTGTCGGCATCAGAGAATCAGAATCTGAGTCTGACTCCCGAGCCTGGGATGTCTCTGAATTTCGGGAAGAATACTGTGGGGGGGGACTTGGGGGGCAACCAGAGGGGGCCAGAAGGGATCCTCTTTGTCTGAGTGAGGTTTACCTGTCTTTTCTCTCTTAATGCAAACAATGATGCTTTTTCATCTGGTTCAGGAATCCACAACTCAGCATATTCACTTTCCTCGGGGCTAACTGCTGGATTTTTATTGCCCACCCATGTATTCAATTGCCGACACATCCAACCCTCAGATGACCCGAACAGAGGCCAAAATACGTGTGGGTTTGTAAGGGGCTTCCCTCCCCATGCCTCAATACAACAGTGAATCATTGTTTCTTTTGATTTACCCTTTCTTCTGGACAAAATATCCCAGTATTTTATCATTTGTCCTTTCTGGTGGTATATCTGGTAACCTATTCAGTTCTATTTTTTCCAGGGATCCCGTCCCCATGGAACCAGAGGACTTGCTTTTCCTCTGTCCCATCTTCCAGGATGCCTTCCTTCACACACACACTCGCGCCCTCCGTTCGTGACTTGGCCCCTCGCAGGGTGCAAGAAATGCACTACAGGGAGGCCCCTCTTGCCTGGTCTCGAGGAGACCTCTCACACATTCGCACCCCTGGATCACCACCCCCAACCAAACAGCTCACAATATATATACTTACCACTCCAGGGGTCTTGGTTTGGTCTTTGTGCACAAAATTTAAGAGGGTCCTGCAGGTTCTATTGCTTACCTATCATAATTTTAGGATGATTCATGCATTTGGGGTTTTTGTTGTAACCCTTCTGCGATACAGGGCTGCCGAAAAAAATATAACAGGCAGGGCGCCTCCCCGTCCGTGAGGGTTTGCACCAAGAGACCCAGATCCTGGGTTTCGGCACCAAAATTGTTATAGGTTACCAGTGATGCCTTGGAATAAATTAAAGAGGCCAATTCATAATAATAAGTAAATTTATTAGTAAACGATAGATAAGCAATTCCAGCGCGCCAGGGGAACCACAACAAGAGGTTCTCCAGCGACTCGCTGCTCCCAACTCCCAATCTTCCCTTTTGTATCTTCCCGGTTCCTGTACTCAGACTTTTGCGCACCCTCAGTGCTCAGGTTCTTCCCCATACAGAGTCCTGGGCTGTGTTTTTGGCACACGTGTAGTTCCGTGGGTCGGGGTCTGGTTTGTGGGCTGGGGTCTCCCATGATGAAGGCTATAGTCTTCCTCTGTGTCCATGAAATGACCCCGTGCTTGGAACATGCGTATTTAGTAGGTATTTTCCTCTCTTTCTGGACTTGTCGGCACTCATTTATCATTTGGACCCCATGTTATTTCTAGAAAAGCAAATCTGTACCTCTGGCTTGTCGATTAGGTTGATCGCTGAGTTCTGCTCGTTGTGTTAACAGAGTGTAGGTAATTTATTACGGTCTGGGGTGGGGGAGGCTGTCGGGCGCCGGGCTGACTCCCTTTATTGTCTGCCCAGCCTCGGGGACAAAAGGCAGCAGCGGTCTTTGCCGGGCAGTCCCAGCTCTCCCGGCTAGAATGTCCTTCTAACACAACCCCCTCCCAGCCCGACTGCGGGGAGCAGCGGGAGGGGGGGCACAGCGGGCATCGCGGCAGTCCCAGGGAACACCAATCGAGCCCCAATTGCTGCCACGGCCGCGACTCAAAGGCGCCTGGCAGCTGAGTGGGAATACACACGGAAATCACACAGCAAGGCCCTGAAGTTTCACCAAGCCTAACCAAAATCTCTTCAAAGTACAGCCAGTTTATCACACTCCCCAGTTAAGAGCTCCCACCCAGACTCTCCCAAAGCAGATGCTGC